GATGCCGTCACTCCCCCCCGAAAACACCGCCCCGGAGTACGACAGAACCTCCCCCTCCCCGCCCCAGCCCACGGGCACCCGGGGAACAGAGCGGGACGCCGCGCTCGGCCCAGCCAACCTCTTCTTCGGCCGGGTCCCAGCCGAGAGACCACTAACCCTCCTGCCAGCACAGAAACGACCTCCAAACGACTGATTTTTATTGAACGGTTTATTATTCTGGTTTAAAATAAAAAAAAGAGAAAACGCTCACTCTCGTGGAGCAAGGTACACGGAAGGTATGCCACGCTGCTGCTTCCTGGGCACTGAGCACCCCACCTCCTCACCCACCGACCGGGGGAAAGACTGGAATTCATACCCTCACAGCACGTATCATCGGTATTTACAATTCATCGTGTTTAAATAAGCCTGGGACACCTTATACAGTATACATAGTTATTGCAACAGTACAGCACTTGCCTCTGTGGTCAAAGACCTCAATGGTTGTTCAGAATCATGATTCGCGGATCCCAAAAGGCATTGTTGTTAACATGCAAAAAACATTACTAAACAATATTATCTAACTTCTACGGTTGCCAAATACTTGACCTTAATAAGGAAACCAATTACAAAATACTTCCTTGTAGTGCTATACAAAAGTTATAAAATTAAGATTCTATCAACCACTTTTAAATACTCCAATTTTCCAACAGTGCAGTTTTCCACATCTTTATCACCACTGAGCATTTTGAAGCTGAAGTAAAAAAAAACAACAAAAAAAATCAGCAAATTAGATCAAAATGTTTTAATCTTTGGATCCCTTTATTCCTGCGGCCTTCATATACATATACAGACACAAATGACCAGTTTTCTATTTCAGCATATCAAAAAGTTGTAACTAGTCATTCAGAATTGGCAAAAAGTCCATACTATGTCATTTGTGAATTCACGGTCTTAGAACCAGAGTCTCAACGTCTCCAAGCTACGGTCTATCAAAATGCAAACAACTTCAAACACTAAGAATTCTTTAAATTGCTTATGCCTACAGGTATTACAACAAAGTTAACATTTCAAGGATTGACAAATGGAGACATACTTTTCTCCCAGGCATTCCAGGAGAATCACTAACTCCTGTGCCTGGTCATTATTAAAAAAAGTTAGTATTTATCACTAAGTAAAATTAATTGCAGATTTTGACATACGAAAATTTCTTTTCTCCTTATTTGAAAATATCTCCTTAATTTGGTCAAATCCTGTGATATGCCAGAAACTACAAAATCAAATTCTTGCAAGAGAAGTGAAGAGTGTATCCAGTTTCGTGTCATGGAAGAACATTTTCAAATCTTCATTATAGTCCAAATATAAAAATCAAACATTTAAGCCTGAAAAGCTGCTAAAGAAAAAACCCAACTAATTCAGTGTTCTTCAGCATATCAACTTTTGCAGTAACACAGTATGTGTGCCGACTTAAAAATGTTTATTCGTTAAAAAATTAGTCGCTTTTTATACAGCTATACAAAGTTTGCAATGTTTCTTTGGCAATGGGATATAATGGAATTTTACAACTATATAAAAAGTTTCCTTTGCCTAAGAAACAGTATTTACTGTGTGTACATATTTGACTGACAAAGCAAGTTTTCTACTGTCCAGCACCCTAGTTGATAAAAGTACAACTATCTCAAAAGGGATATTACAGGATTTCCAAAAAACAACCTTCAGTGGATCAAAACACTCACAGTATCGACGGCCTTCTGCATACAGTTGTCCTTACAACTTGAAGCAATTATCAAATACAGTTTAGTAATAAGAAAAATCCTTTCAGTGATGAAAAAATACTTAAACTCCATCGACGTACTGCTTTATAATTAACTATACATAAGAAATTACTTATCCTTCTGTCTCAAATATATTTAATGCTCACTGTTTTCAAAGATGGCCATTTTTCAAAAGTAACTGCATTACACCCCTTTGAAATTAAATAGTAAAATCCCAGTGCTGGTGACAAGTATACAGCAAACTAACTTCATTCTTTGCAGAGACTGAAACTAATTCTCTGGATCGAGAAGATCTAGACGTTCACCCGGTTTCAGCTTTCTTGTAGACTATGCAGCAACTTTGTTGTCTTTCTAGAGGGAACAACAGTAGAATGTTAAAATTCATTTTGCAAAACAAAAATCACAAATTAATCTGGGCAACAGCACTGGGAGAAGGTGCACTGTCACGGCTACCTCCCATCTTCTGCAATCGGAAAGGAGACCCCTCTGTGTGATCAGGTTAGCATCTGGTCAAAACACCCTCAGTCTGGCACCCGCTGAAGCAGCTCGTCATGTTGACTAGACGTCTGGCACAAATCCTTGGTCTTTACACCACCTCCCACTTATCTGGAAGGCTGTGAAATTCTTTCATTCAGAAATTCCAATCTTTGCTCTTCAATTCCTCATTTCAATTCATGCTCAGCTACCAAAAATTTCTTTAAATCACAGGACTAATTGTTGCAAACTGATGAAGGAATAACTGAGGGACAGTCAAATCTTCTGTGATGAAAAAAGGCTCCCCCCCTCCCTTTTTTTTTTAAATTAAAAATATTTAAATCTTCAAACAGAAAACAAAGACTCTGTGTTGCAAAACTCTTAACTGCTCATGCAGTAAACTACCAGAAGTTCTGTCCCGCTCAAAATTGTAAAAGCCTACATTTAATTGCACCAATCTGGTTCATTATAGGTGTTACTGATTCTAAACAGTATGCCAGTATTATTTCTGTTCCTTAACAAGCTACCGTTCGAACTGAATATGCACGCTTAATGCCAAGAAAAATGGCTTGCGCTGAAATTATGAAAAGATTTTGGTTTTGCAAGCAACTGAACTCTGCTGATTTACATAATCTGTATGATCAATGAGCTTTCATAAAGAGGAGAATTTACATTGTTTCCCAGAAAAAGGAAGTGCACCTAAGATACCACTAGGACAGATACATCACTTTACTAGCTGGGGCTGACAACTAACTTTGTCCTTCCTCTGAACAGCTGGTAGGAAGAAGAGTTAAGATCTTCAACAGGAAACAGAGAAATGGATGTCTTAATAGTATTGCAAAAGCAACAAATTGCGTAACTATGCTGTAAAGGAAGAGTCTGCTTTTTAGCCATCATAGCTCTTGCAGACCAAATTACTATTTCTATGCTTACATGATTATGAAAGCATTTTTGTACATCAGGGTACTTCAGTCAGCAGACTTACACGGTGCCTTGTGCGTAACACTTAAAGGAACTTTAAGCTTCATTCGTATTTAACTAAAGTAATAGTACTTATTTTAATCTTTTTAAAAACACTTTCTCTACGGGATGGACAGAGATCATCTCTTTTGAAGCTTTTATGCCCTATCTCCCACAGTTCCTTTTTACTGAATGACTGGCTGAAAAAAGTCAATCCTGCCTTAGATTTCCCAACAGCTATTGGATGTAATTATGTAAAGTTATAGTTAAAAAAAAAAGTGTATAACAGGACCTTACAGAACTCAAATATTTTATTATCTTCTTTTTTGCAAAGGGTCATCGCTACACTTCAGTAACTTCAATTACTCTATTTTAGGGGTTCTATAGGATCTTAGAAGTCTATAGGCTTTGCACCAACTCATTCACAAAGAATTCAAAAAAAAGTTTGTTGCACACTAGAAGCAAGTTAAATCACACCCTCTCAATCTTTACATTTTACAATATTGCTTAGAAAAATGCTTGCAATTCATATTTCTAACACTTGTATTAAATCTGCCAAAAACTTTCACTCCCCCGCCCCCCCAATTCCAGCAACAGAACAAATATTTAGGGCATGTGAAGAAAGGCAGCTTTTAGTTTTGGTTGCTGTTGATAGTAAAATGATGCTATGTAACTAAAATTTCAGCATTAATGGACTTTCAATTGAGTAGTTCAGAGTACCCGCCAAATACTATTCAAGAAATTCTAGTTCAAAAATCAAACCTAAAAGCAGGAGTTGTTTTACCACTAGTTTCCAAGAACAGTGGACCAGGTCATAGTAAGATTAAATGTATTTTACCCTATATTCAAAGTCAGCAAACTCCCTGCCTCCACGACCTCCTCTGAATCCACCACGAAATCCTCGGGGGGCAGGGAAGCCACCTCTTCCACCTCCTCGTCCTCTTCCACCTCGGAAGCCAATCGCCCCTCTGCCTCTGTACCCTCCACGGCCGCGATTGGGACGCAGTGGTATTCCAAAGGTCTCAGCATTTAGTCTTCTTTCCTCAGCCCAGGTGGGTCGCCGTTCTCTGGCACACAAAAGGAACAAGGATTGTTCTAAAACACACTTCAGAAGGAAGATTGCCTGGCTTAGTTAGAATTGCCAAAAAGCTCATGAAATGAAAAATGATATATTAATCACACTGTAAATCGCCACATTATCCCTTCTGCAAGAATCTAGGTGTCTGCCACAATTCATTTAACTCAACGAAAAGGGTTATGTTACAGTATCATTAATTACTTATTAATAATGCTGTAAGAGTTTCCCATATAGAAGGACACAATCTGTATCCTCTGCACACAGCATCATATAATAAAATAAGTAAATAAAAGCTGTCTGCAATTTAAAACAAGAAATAGAAATTAAGAGTTTGCAGTTACAGATGCTAAGTTATTTTATCTAGTTGTCAGTACAACAGAACAATCGCCACTCGCCCCCACCCAGTAATTCAAAAGAGGTCAGCAATCCACATCGTCTTGTCTATAAAAAGGCACCAGCATAAGCTTTAATTTTCCAGAAATGCTATCTTCCCATTCAAACAACACTACTGGCCAAGACGGTTATGTAATCTACTTAGAAACCATTACCAAAGCACAGTCATAATTGATTTAACTAAAGTGGTAACTTAGTAGCAAAACAAATTAAAAAAACACACTTTAGTAAATCTGGAAAGGAGATTCTAGAATATGTACACTAAGTTCTAGAAGCACGGTTCTAAAACAACATTTAAAAATGTCCTCCTATTAATGTATTGCACTTGCCCACAAAGAAATTTTGTGCTTCATATTCCTGTTTTATTTTTGCCCACTGCATGTGGGAATAAGCTTTTCTCACTTTCAATTCAGAGTTGATTGTAATAAGTAGTGCTGACACTACCTTATGACATAAACATGCATTAAGCAGACTAACAAGCTTCCCCTTGCAGGCCATACCTATTGTCATCACAGGAGATGTTATCAAAGAAGGATTTGGTTTTGTCATAGTAGCAGTTGGGTCCAAGTGGATCTTCCTCATCCGCATTCCCTTCGCTATTTTGGGTATCAACACCTGAGTCACCTTTGTCTTCTCCATTTACAGGCTTCTCTGGTTTCTCAAGTTTATCTTCTGGAAAATAAAAGTAAACAGAAGCCTTCCAGACCATCATACTAAACAAAACAGCACTGTGAACTTATTCCCAGACAAACACAAACTATACTGAATGCTCAAAAATACAAAACCCCCTCCAAAATTTGATGTGGAAGTCAAATAATTTGACACATCAATTAGGATGTTTTGCTGCTGCTGTCTGGAGGTTTGATATCCTCTATATTCTCTGTGGGTTTATTAAAAAAAAAAAAAAAAAACAAACCCTGTGGTAGAATGGATCCGATAGCTATCTACTTTCTAACCTCCTAGCTACCTCCTTTCCAGACTTAAAAGCCTCACTCAGTCATTCCTCATAAAAGCCATTCGATGTTTTTGCTCATCCCTGTTGCCCTTCTCCTTTGTCTTCTGGCTTTGCTGTTATCTCCTTTGAGACACAGGGCCAGCATTCAAGATATCATGCCATGGACTGACTTTATGATGTATTTCTTTCCTAATGATGCCTGAAGTTCAACTTACTGTTTTGACTGGTGCTGAAAAAGAAGCTGATGGTTCAGCAGAACGAGCTATTATGATCTTAAAGTCTCATTCCTAAATGCTTACAGCTTAAATCTCATGATGCTGTGCATAAAATTCAGATAACCAGCTCAACCTTTCCACAATGCACACACAAAAATTACCACTTTGTCTCATAAAATATTTCTATAGCTCTTTATGGTTAGCTTTCCCTTTCCTTGTTATTATTCTGAAAAAATTAGTATCAACAGCAAACTCAACTCATTTAAAAATGATCCAGAAAAAGAGGCAAGCACCAGAGAACAAATCCTATGGGACTCAACTGGTGGTTTTTTCTACACTGAAATCTGACCATTTATTCCTATCTTTTGTTTCCCAGCTTTTAGCCAGTCATTTACTGAAATAGGGAACTCCCTATTTTAACCTGTAACAATTTTGTCCAAAAATAGTAGCAGCAGTATAATGAACAAGTGGCTGGTCACAAGAGAATGAGGTAATTAAAACAGAAGCCTGGTAGAAAACAAAACAAAAGTGCTGGCAGTATGGATTCAAACTACTCCTGTGTTTCTTTGGAAAAGGGTAAAAGCAAAGAAATGCTAGAAACTTTCTTAAACTGCAACACTCCTGCATCCTCCAGCAAAGTTGTGATCCCAAACTCACGTTTTTGTGATTGCTTTTGGTCTATTAATAATTGAAAACATAAAATACAGGTTTTCTTTTATTGCATCTTTTCCAGAACTCAGAAGTAAACTCACACTATTGGGACTTCCGCTCAAGTAATCCGCATTTTTAGCCAACAGACTTGTTAGAACATGATGTATGATATTTGCTAGTTAAAATTCCTTCAAAACTCAAATATTGACCCAAGTATATAATTAAATAGATGATCCCAGTTTACTTGTTCATTGATTATTATTTTTTTTTTAATGACTACAAACAAGACTTAGTAGGATATGCCTTTTAGAAGTTGTTCTCCAAGGTAGGATTAAAACAGCAAGACACAGTTTTTCCATGCTCAAATCTAAAGCAAAAATTGGTTTACCTTTTAGTTTAAGTTTATTATGAAATTCTCTATCAATTTCCTCCTTGTTGAATTGTGCATTTGCACTTTCAAAGTCAAAGTCCTTCTCAAACTTCATTGGACCATCCCTCCTAATACCAAATCTTCCTCGGCCCCCTCTGTGACCTCCACGGCCTCTCCGTGCTGAAGGTCCACCTGGAACTGAAAAGAGGGAAATTCTGTTTGGCTTTGTTTTGTGGATTGTTTTTTCTTTGAGGGTGGTGGGGGTGGTTGGTTTTTTGGGAGGGTTTGTTTTGTTTTGTTTTTTAATTCCTGGGGTAACAGATTGGGACTTCATGCATCCTCTTCCTGCACTTCTGTTGTTAAAAGTCCTGTCGGAACAGCTTGTAATTTGTAAATTCACTTACAATAATTACGGCAGTGACACAGAAAGCATACTACTACTAAATGACTTTCTAGAAGTCATTAAAAGCTTTCAGAAGAAGAGTTAAAATGCTAGTGGCTTTTCAGCCAAGTATTTTTGTAGAAAGGTAACAGGTTTTATTTCATGCTATTGTGTTTATAAATCCATGAATACTGCTTGGTTTTACATTTTTTTTCAAATTGCTTAATATAGAGCAACCAGAAGAGATTTTTCTCTTCACTGTTGACTTTTTGTGCTTGCATTATTCTGACCCAGTGCAAAGTTATTGTTACCCACTAGAAACAATTACATGAAAGTAAATTCTTTATTACTGTAATCTGAACTGCAAGATTTCTGGATGCTAGAAACGAAGTCCTAGCACTTCGCAAACTAGAGACAATGCTGTATTTTAGCAGACTTAAAAAACTTAATGAAGTCTGAAAACATTGATAGCTATTTCTCAAAACAAGATTTACCAATCTGTCGTTTGTTTTCATTTCTGAGTTCATTTTCTGATCTTGAAACCTTGTGTGCTTCAGCTAAAGCTGGAAATAAAAAAATGATTTGTTTATCCAATTAGGTATTTTTGATCATACTTTTGTATATAGTTATATAGTTCAGATTTCAAAAAAATCCAAACCTATAAAAGTAAACCACAAGTTTAACTCATAAAAGAAAAAAAAAAGTAGAATATATGCTTGACTTTAAAAAGAAATATAGATAATCCAGGTCTCTGCTGGCCAGCTGTCTACAGCAGGAAGATTCCTACACGTTACCCTTAGAAAGAGCACTTCGTATGTGTATGGAAGAAAACAAACCATATGAAAATTATCCAAAGCTACCTCGTCTGTGCTCTTGATTCTCTAACGATTTTTGGCTAGCAGACACCAAAGGTCTGGCTGGTACAGGACTCCTCCTCCCAACTGGTGCTGGAGTAGGCAAGTGGGCTGAAGCTGTTTGCACTGCTTGTTCCATGGTGGGGCTCCTTCTCAAATGATCTATCTGAGGGCTTGAACGACCTGGGAAAAAGACAAAACAAAACCAAAACCCAAAGAGTTATTTCTCATCTACAAATCTAAGTTACTGGTCTCAACCAATCTAGACTGACAGGTTTATCTGCCTTACCAGTCAAGACAGCTGTGTCCAAAGAAGAAATAAATATTTCTGCACCCTCAGATCCACTAATCCAGAATGAAGGATATTTAGCAATTCCCCTTCCCCCAGTCTAAAAGAAAAAAATGGGTAGGACAATTAATCCCTACCAACCCATCTATGATGTGCATTTAGCTGTGGAATGAAGTTTTTTTATTGATTGGAGGTAAAAATACTCTTTCTGCCTCCCTGGAAAGCCAAGTGGAAAGTGACTGCTCCCAAAGGCAGAGATACAGTTATGATACTGAAATTTCATTTCATCTAGCGATTCTGTTGTATGATCACCACAAAATAAATGAACAGTGATGGCTAGTGCCAGGCATAATGCAGATGAAGGAGCTATGACAGCTTCTCCACAAAGTGCTGTTCATACAATTCAATTTGCAGCACGAGTGACTGGAGCCAGAAGCATGTTTAGAATGGAGACATTTGTTCTGGCCAGACAAGTTTATGATTCCATATAGGTAAATCTACTAAGAAATTAGAATAGGAGTCAGGTCCCAGTAACTAAAAGAAAAGAATAACGTTGTATCCCATAAAAAAAGCTAAACTAAAGAAGGAGGAAAAAAAAAAATCCCACAACCCACAAAAAAAACCCCAAACCAACCACATCACACTTACAAATCTACAAAGGCGACAAATATTTTTAAAAGCAAACACACAGAGAAAAATCTTGTTGGTGCCCCACAGGAAATTTTGTGACAGAATGTATGTTCATCTGGAGCATGTGTCATACATTAAGTCCAAGAATCATACAGGTTTTAATTTCACCTACAGAAAACCAAGCTACTCTTTCAACAGAGAAACAGTAAATGCTCAGCATATTTTTTTTCCCCTTTCAATTAATGCAACAAAGTAGAACCTATTTTCGGTAATCCACTCAACTAATCTAGAAAGCAGTCCCAACTGGTATACAAATCTCAACTACAATTTAGGAAAAAACCTGTTTGCTTAAGTAAAGTGTTTTGTCTTTTAACATAACTGCATAAACTTAAAAATAGCATTAGGAATGTATCCTGGCACACACTTTTACTTGCAGCCATGAAGAGTGGAAGAGCAGGAAATAACGTCTTTTGGATTTTGAGGAGCAATCTTAACACATTTGCATGAAAAGTGAGGGTGAAAGTGCTCAACATTTAGTTTCTTTTTTCTTTGCCACTCAAAAAGCATCAAGAATTTCCTTTTTGCTTCTACTTTCTTTTTCCAGTATTACACAAACTGCCCATACAGTTTCCATTACTATTAAGCTGACTTAACTGTCATGTCACTATCTTTACAGGCAATCAGGTCTGCTGTTAATATTATTTATGTAAATATACATTAACAAAAAAATACCGCTAGGAGTGAAGATTTAAAAATCGTAGGCTGAAGGACTTCACAATTCAATCAGCATGAACTATCTTGAGTTTTGTCATGGTACCAATAAAACCAAGTATTGCATTTCCATATGCTATTTGCTAACATTAATCAACTGAAATAAGTCCTACTCCTCAATAAAGATGTTTTAAGGATAACAACAAATGCGTTGCTAACAGTTACCTATGCAGCATGCTAAGATGTAGGAAAATACATTTAAAGAGCAAGTACAAAGCCTCTCAGTGCTTTCTGGTTTTAATACCAAGTGTTTTCATGACAGAATTCAGCTGTCTGGTTAGCATTTCTGGCAACCACCTAAATCACGGGGGCACAATTGGTCAAAAAAGATGAAAGAGTTACTCAAAAAGATTTACCTTGAGACATCTGTGTTTTTAGTGATCTTGCATCTGTTGTAAATGCAGAACCAACTGCAGTGCTTTGGGACATGCTAGCACTGGCTGAAGAGTCTGTTCCAAAAGATGTTAAAGAACCTCCTGCTTTGAAAGAAATAGTACAGTTGTAAAACCTGGTTTAGACTTCTTTCTGTGTTTTTTTTTTTTTTTAATTAGCACTAAATGATTAGTGAAGCCATATTAGGCAGTTATTATAGAATACACATAAGTCTGCCCTTCCCATACACTTTAAGTTTAATGTAATGTATGTATTTGTAGTAAGTTGGTAAGACTATAATATCTTGATGCTTTTTCTCTAATAAAAAAATAAATAAAAGAGCACTGCTAACTTTAGTATCACAAGTATTAACATAGCATAGTCATGACAGCATCTTACAGAGTAACAAGCAAATGTTATTAGTATATATTTCCACTTAACATCTTTTAAACAAAAATATAACTGTCACATCTTACTAATTGATATCAAATTATGACCAATTCTACAGCCTCCCTTTCACATGGCTAACGTATTCACTACCAGGAGTAACATGGTCACCGTAACAGTTACCAGAATGTAAGTTCCTATGTGAAAAACTAAAAGGTGAAATAAAAAACTTTGAGGAATGAAAGTTGGTTGGTGAGTCTCAGAAGGCATCTGCAGTATAAAGGAGCAACTAATCCATGCAGCTCAAATACTTCAAAAGCATGTACTTCATTCCGAGCTAACAGCTCATGAATAGCTGGAGGACTGTGCTGGCACATGGACTGCTGAATAATCCAAACCCTTGGTTAAGGCACACACCACCTGGTCAACTTGGGATACCAGATGTCCACAGCACACCTACGGGGCTTTTGTGGAGGAGCTGCCTCTACCACTTATGAAATATAATGAATACACGATTAATGTAATGAATATATATGAAAAAGAATGAATTCATGAATACAGGAACCTTTCCCCACTTGTCCCTCTGAGATAGGTTGTTTAGTTCTCAGTCATAATTGCTTTGCTTTGAGCTGCAAAGGCTATGAAAAACTGTCTACTTGTGAGCTAAACTGTGGCACTGATGCAGATTGAAGACTTTGGATCTGCCCTTAGGATAAGACGTTGATGGAATTATAAGCACTGACTACTGTCTATGCACACACATGCAACTTCACTTATACGAAAACACCAAATAATAAAAATGAACATACCAACTCCAACAGCGCCAAACTGCTGCCCCACCAGCGGGCTTGGACTAAACTGACTGTATGCAGGCATTCTGCCAAAAGGACCATAAGACCCCACAGACTGGAATGAAGATGTAGTCGAAGATCCTAGTGAAGACTAAAGACAAAACATACTTGCAGAAATTCATGTTTACACAAAAAGTAGGAAATAGTTCTGCAAGGCAAGAAATGCAGAAACTGTTTGTTAAATTTACCCAAGCACCACCACTGTGGCTAATACATATACAAGACCTTAACATTCATAAAGTTGCTTCTTTTAATATCAAGAATTTAACTGCTTTAACACAGAAGCGAAGACCGCACAAAAATAATGAATTACACACATTACTCTGCATGAAAACTCTGAACAGGCAACAGTTAGCAGAAAACATTTTCACAAGTATGTATACAGTTTAGAAAGTACTTTTACCTTTGCAATATCACAAACTTGCGAAAACAGTACCATAAAATTTTGCAATCTTTTCCCTGGAACCTCAGATACTGGACTCTTGTCAAACACGTGTATAAGCTTTTGTTGGCTTTGTTGGAAAAAGTAATTATCTTTTCCTCTGAAGTTTCAAAAAAACCAAATGAACAATGGAAGACCCAAACATACTAGAGGAGAGTGGGGTTATTACTATTATTGGGGTTAGCAGTAATGCAATTTCACAGCTCTCAACTACCACTGACAGAAGGAGTTGCACCAAATTTAGCAAAAGACGTTAGAGGATTGCAAGGGTACTTTGTAAGGAAGCATCAAGAATTTTATCTTACGGAATAGTTAAACATTAGAAACAAACACTCACATGGAATTATCAAGTTCCATTTGAACCAAGAACTTCCATCTTGCTCTCAGGGATGATTTTAAGACACCCCACAAGCACAATCAACAAGCCAACAAATTTCAGACATTAAAAATAACTATCTCCATCAATCCATTTACTATGAAATAACAGATTAATTAACCCTGAAAGCTTCAAGTTGTAAGGTGCTTTCCCTTCAGCAACCAAGTATTCCCTTTTCAAATAACTGCCCTTTACTAGGAAGTCTTTTTAAAAAACCACATAGCTAGAGGAAACACTTTAAAAGTCAGTCAGCAAAAAAAGCTGAACATTAAAATCCAAAGAAAACAAAACAAACCACTAATGATTTAGAGGGGTTTCAGCATCTACTCTATTTGACTTATACCAAGCCTGATCTTTCCAAGAAGTCTTGCATACGTGTCCTCCTAAGCCAAGTACTTTCAAAAAAAGGCATCAAGGTCTACCAAAAGTCGTTAGTTGTTTTTGAAAAACTGGCAGCTTTAGTATCCAGTGCATTGTGCTAGAGTTAGATTTCAACCTTGATTTTCACAGTAAAGACATGACTCAAAAGAGGAAAACCTTTCCAGAGTTCTTTACATTGGGTTGTGAACTTTACAGCAAACAACATTTTAATTTTTAAACACTCAGCTAGAGAGCACTTAAAGCTACCAGGTTATATGTCCAGCAACAAACATCTAAAAATATATTTTGACTTACCTGAACAATAGCAGGGTCCTGTGGCAAAGAACACTGAGGTTTTGGTGGCTCACAGACAGTTAGGTCTTTAATGTCACTGCCACGGAATATAATATACTCAAAGACTTCATCACGAGGTGGTATAGGTCTATCAGTTGGTCTATCCTCTGTACCAAAGGAGCGAACTGCAAAATTTAGAAGAGAGAAAAAAATAAAAACATCCCACATTCAACAAAAAGGTTTCAAATATACTGCAGAGACCAACAGCTTTACATAAAAAGAGTAAAATTTCGTTGAGCAAAAAACCTTATTAAATAGGCAGCATATTCTTTGCCATTATCAACTGGTCAGACATAAACATGCAATTTGATCTTACAAGCTTCAGTTAAAAATCAAGCAGAAAGACAACTCTTCTATTCCTTACTGAGAATGAATTACATCACTTATGAATTACTATCACTTATGCTATCACTCACATGTTGAGTATTTCAACTGTTTTGTGAGGATAAGGGGAAGCAGCAAAGCAGTTTTTTGCTAAGTTAACACCTTCTAGACATTATAGCAACAGGAACACCAACAAAGGCTGGTCAGTCAGTCCTGTGAATCAAGGAGTACATGAGTTTACATACTTCATATTCTGCACTTGCAAATCAGGAAAAAAATATGTTAATACTACTAGAAACTAGAATATTAAAAATTACTGAAAGCAAAGTATTTCTCAATACGTTCAAGGTCTGAATCAAGATTTAAATAAAAATTAGGAATTCTGTGGTATATATACACAATTTTCACTAAGCAATTTTCTTCTTGCTGGTGTAAGGTTCATATGATCTCTGCCAAATTAAGTAAACTCACTGGGCATAACTATCTTACTAAGTAGGCCTGCATAGTGTGCAACATACCAAGACATTAAATTTATTTGTATGTACTTAGCTGAATTAGAACAGTTTTCAGATTGCATAGCGATGAAGCTTATCATGCTTTTCCCTTTGCACTACATATAATCACTACCACTGTATATGGATAGCATCCCTTTACTTTCACTACCCTCTCAAAGACTTTTCCTCACCTTAAGATTGCCAACCCTAGGTGAATATAGTGAAACAAACAAACAAAAAAAATCTGAAGAATAGATATGTCTCCAAGAGCTAGTTATGTAAGCAAAAACTAAACAATGAATTGAAACCAGAGGAGGAAAAAAAAATCATGACAATCACATTCTACTGAACATGAACTTGCAGCAGCTTTAACAATCCCTCATGACTGTCTTTGCTCTAGCCTTTTAAGAAGTTTTTGTTTGCTTTGTAAGGTACTACAGGTTATGCTGAGAAAACATCTATATTTTGCTTTAATTTACCAGAATTAGTTTTCCCTCCATTTCCAGATGCATCAACAATTTGGAGACATCATTAGGCACTTATTTGCAGCCACAAAACCATTAGTCAAGAAAAGCAGAGTTTCCTGTAGAGCTGTATAAAATGATACTGAGTCATTTCTCAGGCTGCACCAACCATCTTCCATCACTGTTGCTTCTTCTAGTACTGCATAAACAGAGCTTATCAGTCAAGTATTACAAATCTTTGAGAAGCATAACGCAGGGGTAAAGAAATCAGCTCCACACTACAATGAAAAATAACATTAAGTGGTTACAATTATTTTGTTCATACTTGTATCATCTACCAAGCTGAATTTAACCAACTTTTCTATTTCTGTGCATCTGAAAGTCTGCTCTGAATGGTACTATAAAATGTAAGCGCTGTAAAAAGGCATATACTGTTAAGTGAATTTCAATCTTTGTTATAAGATAAATCTGTCTTCTCTTCTTCCTCTACAGAAAAAGATACCTGAAGTTGAAGAATTTGCAGAAATTAACTCAAAGTTAATACACAATACACAATAGCTTAACAACATTATCAACTGGTCACGTGCATTACTGTAGTTCATTCTGTGGCTTTTTATTCATCAGGCTTTTCTATTTCACTGTCTTGACCAAGGATCCACCTTCACTTTCTGGCCATCCTATACTCTATTTATTAGATAACTAACAAATTAACTTCGCCCTTCATTCCATCATTTGACCTGTTGTCTTGGTAAGTAAAACCAAAGTTGATTTTGTATTGGTTCTCTCTATCCCACACTGAAATGGTTGCTCTAGTAGCCATTTTTTCTACAGAGGTGCACAAAAATGGCCAGAGTGTGGTAAGTAAGTTACTGAAGTATTTTACTTTCTAGCTAAAGTGAAGGAACTATCATAAAACTACAAAAACATGAAAAGGAAGTATTTTTCAATACCAAATATTAGAAGTCATCTTTAAGAGATTCAGCTGTCTATGCAGCTAGATCAAGAGATTGATAAGGTCGTCAATGGTTTTGCAATAAAACACATCAAGAGTTGCTACTAAGAGTTTGGGGTTTTTTTCTCTACCTCTCCCCTGCTCCAAACCAAACTGGTTTTAGTGCAACATCCAATGAAGGCTAGCTCTGCTGGAGGGGGGTAAGCAAACTCCTCTGATTTGGGGTTCAACCTTCCCCTCTCACCCCAAAGCAACAAAAATAACCACCCTCAAGTCTAATTTCCTTCTAAAGCAAGGAACCAGAACTAAGAAATGGCGATCTAAGAAAGCAGTTTAGGATAAGGGCTACTCAACATTTTGCAGTGTCTATCCCAACTAGGTCCTTCAGACAGTAGTATAACATAAAGAGTTGAATGCTACTGTTAATATTTTGCAAAGGGATAGCTATCTTTACAGTTTCTTCTTTCCTAGCTTGGATTAGGATTTAACATAATCTGAGCTCATTAAAATAAAAAGTCTAATATTAAAGGTGGCCAGTACAATAGGATTTTTGAAAGAAATAGCTTTTACCATAGTTTTGCATAATCAGAAATACTAAGTTGCCAGAGTGTCAAAAACACAAGGTATTGGAGTGGCAGCAGTCTTAGAGCTCTATCCAGCTCTGTCTCTTGGGGTATTTCCTCAGACTACATCCTTCCTCCAGAACAAGGTGCAGTGGTTCATATATAGGAAAATACTGAAGAGTGAGAGGAAATGAAAATAAGCACGTGAAAGATAATGTAATCTTACAACACTTACCAGGACTACGGTAAATCCATTTAATCTTACCTTGTCAATTTAAGTTGGTTTGCTCATTAAAATAAAAAGTCTAATATTAAAGGTGGCCAGTACAATAGGATTTTTGAAAGAAATAGCTTTTACCATAGTTTTGCATAATCAGAAATACTAAGAGTGTCGAGTGTCAAAAACACAAGGTATTGGAGTGGCAGCAGTCTTAGAGCTCTATTGTCTCTTGGGGTATTTCCTCAGACTACATCCTTCCTCCAGAACAAGGTGCAGTGGTTCAATATAGGAAA